TTCCAATGGATTTTGAGCTTTTGTACAACTTGCTTGAAGTCCAAGGATGCTTCTCCAACTCCTAGCTTGCTTTAAAATCAACTGAACCGTGCTATGGAAATTAACCTGCACAACTTGAAAATAAAAATGGCAAACGTGGTTATGGGTGTTACAGCTTGAGTTCAATGTTTGGGATAGCTTCAGTGGATGATATGGAACATGTTTGAACTCTTTTTAGCCCAAATGCACGAGTGGAAATGTTTGTGGAAGTCAAGTTGCAGAACTTGCTCTGTTTCTGCAGCAAGAGGGTGCTTTTGTGAATGAGGAGGTTTGGGAGGTGGTTCAGTCGTGCTTTAGGCTTGCTTGGATGTATGAAAATTGTTTGCAAAGTTTGTGTTTGGCTGTGTTGACAGGAATGAGAGATGGAGAGTTTTGGCCAAGTTTTCTTCTAATGTAAGCAAGGATAGTGTAAGTTCCAACACAGGCCTGTACCACCCTCTATGTATACTGCATCTTTTGTTCTTGATCAAAGGGATTTGTGTACAAATGCTAGCCTCAAAGATCTGGCCCATGCCTCTTGGATATGGTATTTGACATAAAGTGCATCTTTTCAAAAATGGCAAACTTACTTTTTCCATTTAAAGATTAATTCTTTGTGTAATGACTAAATGCATAAAACAATGCTTGAACACAAAGGTTAGGAATTTAATTATTGAGTGTGAAGAGGTTTAGAGGCCTGCAAACTATCACAAACCCTGCTGACTTGAAAATGCCAATGTTATGAACAAGCTTTGGCCATGAATAAAAGTGAATTTTGCCCAACTTTGCAAATTCGATTCTCCCTAACCACAAGGGTGTTTGAGAAGTTCTTGGACAATTTGGAAAGCTTGGAATGTGTACTACAATCCATCTTCGTAATGAAAATTGAAACTCCAAGTGGAAGCATGTGAAAAATGATCATGAAGTTGGTCAAAAATCCTGCCTAGAATAGGTCAAAATTTCTCTAAGTTAAAAGTGTTTTGCACCCTTGTTCCAAAAATCATAACTTGAGATTCAAGCCTCCTTTGAGAAAACTTTGTGAATCAAAGTTGTAGATTTTTCAATGGAATACAACTTTCATGTTTCAAGTTTTGTTTGAATCCATTTGAATCTTGGTGAAAAAATGGGACAAAGTTAGGAAAAAATAAGGAAGTTTCATAACTTAGAAAAATTCTAAGTTATGAAATTTTCTCATTTTAAACCCTAATTTGCAAATTTGAATTTCTTGATGAACAAGTTTCATAATTTGACATGTTTTGATGAAAAATGAATCTTGGCACTTGATTTTGACCAAAAAGTCAAAGTTTGACTTTTCAGTATACAGTCAAATTTTGATCAGTTGACTGGAAAATTCATTTGTCAATCCTATGCATTTGAGATCTTTTGAACTTGTTGAATGTGTCAAGATAATGCCATTGAGTCCTTGAGTCCATATGTGAGCTTGGTTTGCCATTGGTTAGGTTAAACAGTCAAAAATTGCATTTGTGCAGTCAAAACCCTAAAAATGACCATTTTGCCCTTTTGGTGATCTGATCAAATTTCTTGTGGAATTGTGATCCAAACTTGACCAAATGGTTCGTATGAGTTCATTATGTTGATGTGGGTCAAAAATTATGAAGTTTGACTGTCAATTGGCCACAGTTGACTTTTTCCCCAATACAACTGATTTCTAGGTCAACTGTCCAATTGACTAGACAAAGATTGGAATCAAGGCTTGAAACTTGGTATGGATAAACTTATAGGTCCAAAATGAAGCATGAAAGTCACTTTGGGCATTTTAGGTCAAAACATCTTTGTGCAAACTCAAACCCTAATTTGGGTCAACAGTGCAAGGAGGAGTCTTGAGCAGAGCAAACCCTAACTTGATCTTGAGCTCCAAGGGTCTTGTGGTGAGAAAATGTTGATGAAATAGGAGGTCAAATTTTGGGGTACAACAGTAATGACCATTTTCTGAATAATATTCTTAATGTTCTTATTGACAGCTTCGACAACCTCATTCATCTTAGGCATTTAAGGAGACGAGTTGTGATGGACAATCTTGAATTCTTCACAAAGTTCTGTCATCATCTTATTATTCAAATTCGAGTCGTTATCTGTGATAATCCTTCTTGGCACACCATACCTACATATAAGATTGTTCTTGATAAACCATACCACCACTTGTCTGGTCACATTAGTATAAGAAGCTGCTCTCACCAACTTGGTGAATTAATTAATTACCACTATGATGAAACGATGTTCATTATAAGCCTTGGGTTCAATCATCCCGATCATATGAATACCCCACATAGAGAAAGGCCATGGGGAAGAAATAACATTGAGAGGTTTCGGGGGAACATGAGTCTTGTCCGCATAAATCTGACACTTATGGAACTTCTTTGCAAATTTGTAACAGTCATATTCCATTGTCAGCCAATAGTAACTTGCCCTTAGCATATTCTTTTCCATCGAATATCCATTGGCCTGGGTATCAAATGAACCTTCATGGATCTCATGAATCAACATGTCTGCTTCGTGTCTATCCACACATCTTTGCAAGACCATGTCATGATTTCTCTTGTATAACACGTCTTCATAGAGGAAAAAGCTACCTGTCAGTCTTCTCAATGTCTTCCTATCTTTGTTTGTCGAACCAATTGGGTATTCTTGAGTTTGGAAAAAGTGCTTGATATCATAATACCACGGTTTGTCATCTGATGTCACTTCTGCTGCAAATATATGAGCTGGTCTATCAAGACTTTGGATTGAAATCTGAGGTATATCATTCCAAGAATTCACCCGGTACATGGAAGACAATGTGGCTGAAGCATCTGTCATCTGATTCTCGTCTCTTGGAATGTGATGAAATTCAACCTTATTGAATAAAGTCAACAACCTTCTTGCATAGTCTTTGTAGGGAATCAAGTCAGGGTGACGAGTCCCTCATTCTTCTTTAATCTGATTTATTACAAAAGCCGAGTCACCATATACATCAAGAATATTGATCCTGAGGTCCATAGCTTCTTCAAGACCCATGATACAAGCTTCATATTCTACCATGTTGTTGGTGCAATCAAATTTCAAACTTGCAGTGAAAGGGATATGAGATCCATGGGGGTGATGATCATAACACCAGTTCCTTTACCATAAGCATTCATGACTATATCAAATACCATACCCATCGAGATTCAGGATCTGGATCTTCTTCAGATAAAGGTTCATCGTAATCTTTAACTTTAAAGTACATTACACTTAACCGATTAATAATCATCAATTGTCTGGTGAGAGAGGTACTCTGTCAACCACTTCCTTTAATAGCCTTATGAGTACGGTATTCAATATCATATTCAAGTCAAAAAATGTGCCTAATACAAGTTAAACTGTTGTTAAAATAAGATATAAAGTGCAATAAGCACTGCACATGTTATTTTGTTGTAGAAGTAAGAAATAAATAGTATCAAATACTTTCACATCCATATCTAAAGGGGGCAATAAATCAAACTAATTTAAATTGGGTATCAGTGTAAACATTACAATCATTTTCTTACTATTTCCCTTATCTATTTTTTCAGCTCTCGCTTCCTATAATATTTTACTCTGTTATTAGGCGCTTAACACCTTTTCTATTTTGAAACTGTATCAATCAGAATTTATGATACATACCTTTTGCAACAATGTATATCAAAGTTTTTTTTACTGAAGTACAAATCACAATATTTTACCATTTCCATCAAACAATTTTGAATGACCTTTCACAACAGCTATTTCAACAGCACCTAAAGGACAACAGTAGCTTTGCAAATCAACACCATTCTTGCAACAATTAAGCAGTGTAAATGCGGATGTCTTGTTCGATAAATGCCATTGTAAGTGACAAATATAAAAAGGAATTTCTGGAAGGATTCTCCACACTCATTCAATTCGGTTAAAAATGAAGTGTATTACATGTTTAAACTGGTGAAAGAAATGTAATTTAAGTAGTATAAACATTCACATAAAAATAAAGATCTTAAATGAAAATAGAGAATGAATGTGTTTAGTTTCACCTCTCACCATGGTCCCGTTCATATCACCTCTGACCATGTATTTAGTTTCACTCTCACCAAGAGAAGCAAGATCTTACCAGATCCTTAGTTCATTATAGATTAATCTGGTCACTTTTTCTTGACTGACATCTGAACTATTGGAATCTATAATTGACAATTCCCTTATTGTCTTTAAGATTTCTTCTATGTTAGGAACAACTACAGCTCCTAGATGTTGTTTATCCAATATGTCCAAATAAGTGAAATTGTTACGATTATAAATATCTTGCATACAGTTTATATGTAGGCCTTGAACATAAATATTTTAAGACATCAAAATTTAAATTCACCTGGCCAATGACAACAATTTGTTGTATGAGGTTACTTCTCATGGAAGCTTCTTCAAGTTCTCTCGGTTCAACATTTTCACCTTCTCTTATTGAAACATGTGATTAGTACTTTCATATGGAGAACAAACCCACGATCAACAGTGAGGGAGGGGCACTACATATAGGATTCAAAGATTAACATACACAAACTTCTGTTCTACCTGATGAAAGAACAATGGTGTCTTTAGCACGACCTTCAACAACAATCACACCACTAGAATTACGGCTTCGCCCAACTGAATGGTGGGGAGCTATCTAACTTATGTCACCAGTATCCAGCCAACCATCCTTACGTATGGCCTGATTTGTAGTTGAAGGGTTCTGATACAAGAATAAAGACATGTAACTGACACAACTTGATCCAGCACATGTCAATACATGGGCTCTAGATTTTCTACACATGTTGCATCACCTTAATCATCATGGTGTGGCAAGAAATCAATGGCTTCATTTGTCAACTCAACACTATGCATAGATTAAACTCAATGAGAAAAGAAAATATATAAGTTCTACCTGTCAATAAATTGAACACACAAACGTGTTTAAGTATAACATATAAAGAGCATGATACACGCTACCACGATTCATCTCAAAAGAACCACCCAACTCCAATCTGATTCCCTTTACCATTTCCAAAATCCACAAACTGATTAGCAACAGTTTGACCAACAAAACCTAACCCTAACTCATTCGGCTTATTATCCCTAACTCCAATCTGTTTCCCTTCCCCATTCCTAAAATCCACAAACTCATTCGCAACCGTTAGATCAACAAACCCTAACTCATTTGGCTTATTAACATAACCACCTCGAGAAACCCCATTAGAAGCAGTATATCCTAAAAATGAAGACCAATAATCAGGTACAACCGAAACAGAATCACGATCTTGATGAAACCCATCAAAATTGAAATATTGTTGGGATTCATATCGATCTAGATACCTAAATGGGAAGCCATGGTGTGCAGCATCGTCTGGATCAATGAACGGAGGCAAAAGATCAATTGGAGAAGATCGATTAACACTAAATGGCATAACGAAAGCCCTTAAATGCGATGAAGGTGATGCATAATAACTCCGTTGCACGATCCAAAACCCTTCACGACTTAACGATCTTGATTATGCATGAACAAACAAAATCAATTAATTAACGTGATAAATAAAACACGAAAAAAATCAAAACCATACACACAAAAAAGAACACGAATGGAAGAACGGAGAGAGGATGGATCTGGGACATGGGAAAAGGAGACAATAATGGTTGTAATGAGTGAGGGACGATTTATGTAGATGGAAGAGAAATCGTTTTTCAATGAGGATGTGTAGATGGAAGAAAAACCGTTTTTCATCTAATTGTGCGTTGAATGAGGAAAACAAGCATATGAAACAATTGGAATCAGAAAAATCTTGGAACAAATATAAGAAATAACGATTTTGGGAAAACAAATGAAGTGAGCTCTTAGGAAGCCACGTGGCGAATTGTAAGTAAATAGGATTCAATTTTCTTATATGATAGATAAAATAAAGCATCAATATAAATTTATGTTTTGAAATTAAAATCATGAATGCATCAATGAAATTTAAAATTTATTATAACAATGTGAATTATAACGTACTTTTAAGTTTTTAGACAAAATACATTTTTTTGGTCCTTTAAGTTTACCTCGGAGTCCATTCCGGTCCCTTAACTTTAAAAAATTCTAAAGTGGTCCTTTAACTGTTCTAAAAGGCCCACGTTAATCCTTTCCGTCCAATTTTCTCAAACGGCATCGAATTTTGCACGCTGACATGTGATGTGGAATTTGATGTGGCATATGATTATCACCAACCAAATACATGCTAGTCACTTAGAAGATACTTTACCACTGAGCCAATTTTCCTTTTGTAATTAGGTTTACTAATTAAATGTATAATAATTATCTCTAATCTTCTAGAAATTCACAAAGATTAAAATCCTCACCATTGCATCCATCAAAACTCCTCAACACCTTCACTAAAATCACACCACAATCCACTAAAATCTTTCTCTTATTCTGCTCAAAAACTCAGAAAATACTCCCTCTGTCCACGGCCTCTTAGACCATAACCCACATACACTTCCTTCGCCTTCAATCCTACTGCTCACACGAACCAACACTAACCTGTTGTCCACCACCGATCCTTCAACAACCCAAATAACCGCGGCCCTATAACGACTACCTCCATCATCGTTCAAATTGCAAGCAACAACACACTCATGACAACAACAGATTCAACAAACATCTCTCAGAAGCAGAAACTCAGAAGAAACAGAATCGAGAAGAAGGAGAAACGGAGAAAACCGAAGAAGTGAAAAGAGTACCTGAAGTCGTGTTAAATCAGCGTCGGTGCAGTAATCTCGCTACTTTTATTGTTGTTTCATATATTAGATCGAGAACATAGAGATTGAAATGAGGAGCGATAAATTAAACATGTTGAGCCCCAAAGCCCCAAATTAAATCTTATGTGTTTTCATTTTCGATTTTAGTTTCAAATTTTTGTAACAGCTTCAGATTTTCGATTAAGATTGTAACAGATTCAAATTTTCGATTTCAAACTTCTGTATTTTAAACTGATGATGTTGTTGTTGGGTTTCCTCAAGTTGCAGAATGATGATGATGATTTTGTTGGAAAAGACAAAGATTTAAGGAAAAATAATGATGATGATTCGTTTTCTGGAACTGATGTTGTTGTTGGTTTTTGTCAAGTTGCAGGAACTGATGATGATTTCTCCATTAAAAAAAGTGAAATTAAATATATATATATATATATATATATATATATATATATATATATATATATATATATATATATATATATATATATATATATATATATATATATATATATATATATATATATATATATATATATATATATATATATATATATATGATAATTTGCATATTTAATCATCAAGTGGTGAAATGGCTTAGTGGTAAATTATGTTGGATATGAATCTAGGTGATAAGGGTTTGAATCTTAGCTAAAGTAGAATTTTAGAATGTTTTTTGGAATTTTAGAATAAATAATAGATGCCACGTGTATGATAAAGTGCCACGTCAAATCCCACACAAGTAAAAGTTGATGTCGTTAGTCAAAATTGGACGAAAAAGACTAACATAGACCTTTTTTGAATAATTAAATGACCACTTTTAAACTTTTTAAAGATAAGGGATCAAAATAGACTCTGAGGTAAAATTAAAGGATCAAAAAGAGTATTTTATCAAATTTTTATTATGAATCGTGTTTAAAAATAATTCTACCTTTTATATTAAAATTATTCCCTTTCTATAAAATTTTAGAATTTAATATTTTTAAAACTAAGTTTCTTTTAATGACCAAAAAGCTACCATACCAAAAAAAAAAACTAAGGAAAAGAAAAGAAAAATAAAATAAAATAAGATAACCTTTAATATATTTCATAAAGAATAAGGTATGTTTCTTTAATATCTGTGTACATGAAAACATTTTTTTTTATTCTTATTAAAATATCTATTTTATACACTACATCATTTGTCTCTTAACATTCTTTTAATAATATAATTCAAATAAAATAAAAATAGTTTGTCTTACTTCTCAATCTAAAACCTGTAAAATACATATTAAAATCATTAAAAAAATAGAACTTTAATATTTGATTCTTCGATGTAATAGTAATTTGAGTTATATTGACATAGATAACAAATAAATAATTTTTTACTTTGTTATAAAAACAAATGAATAATCAAGACATGTGTATAAAGTATTAAAAAAAACTATCATATAATTTTAAAAAGTACTAAAAAAAAAAGTGATGATTTGAAACTAAACTCATATATTTGGACTCACAATTAATAAAAACATATAGAACATTAAAACTTAATAAAATTATAACAGAAAATTTTATTATTCAATATCATCTAAAACTCCCTTAACTATATATAAGTCTTCAATATTCAACTTCAATAGATGAAGAGTGTTATCCGAACATAAAAGTAGATTAATAGTGATTTTTATTATTTATATATTTTATTTCACATCAACATTTTCATGACCGTAGTCATCTTCTCAATTAGATTTACTTTAACAATAAACTCAAACACATTGATCAACAAATATATATAATATGTTATACATGAAAATAAAATAATTATATATGAGATTCATAATAAGATAAACTTACCTACAAACAACATAGTAAAAAAATAAAAACAAAAAACTCGTTGAAGTTGTGATAGTAAAAATCATTAAAAAAATGTTGAATTTGTGAAATGTGTAACAAATGCATTGAGTAAATAATAATGCAAAAATATATACAATTTTATAGGTGTGGAAGAATTAAAAAAAAAAAACATAATAATTTATGAGAATGTTAAAGTTATTAAAATGAGGAGTTTTATGAAACGGACAATTTAATAAATATTTAAGAAAAAAATTAAAAAGTAATAGTCAATCTAAAAATATAAAACATATGTTTGTTTCACTTAATATTTTTTATCCTATTTTTTTAATTGAGGGATAGTTTTTGATATGGTATCTATCAAAATAAGTTTCATATTATAATATCAAATTTAACTATGAAAATTTTAATATAAACATATTATAAATTTATAAGAGTCTTTGATATAATATTTTTTAATCTTAATTTTTCTTTATTTAATTATGGAAGGAAAAATAATTTGACTCAAAACAGAATCTCAATTTTTAAATTTTTTAATTAAAATAAATAATGAATAATTAATAATTTTGAGAAATTAGTTTGAATTTGTATCGTTTTTTAAATAAATTAAATAATTTATTATTATAATAATTAAATTAAATTCATAATAGTTTTATTTTAAAATTAGTTGTTAATTATAATGGTTTTAATCACTTACACATATATTTTTTTTATTTTAAATGTAGTAGTGAGTATTTGAGAGGTCATGTTATGAATGTTATTAGAAATCATATATTCTATAACTATATTTTTTTATATTCTAAAATATTATATTATTATATATTATTTATATTATTACTATTAATATATTCTTTTATATTCTAAAATATTATATTATTATATATTATTTATATTATTATTATTAATAGTGGTGGTTGAATATCATATTATTATTGTTATTATTATATTTATTATTGTTTTGAGGATATGTAATTTTTGAACAATTTAAACTCTAAAACCTTCTGTCTTATCCGAGGCACAACAGTTTATTTGTGAGGGTTATCACACTTCAATTTCATATGTCATTAATAAATCATTGAACGTTTTACGTTCAAATTTTACGCTCTATGTCTTTCTTTTTACTTTATTTTGTCAAAATAGCCATGTGCTCTTACACACACCCACATATCAAATTACATATCCACAACCACCCTGGATCCCATTGATAACAGCTCTGCTATTGTCAGCTATGACTTTGAAAATCCAATCTACCAAGCCGATGACGAAGGTGAGGAAGATTGTGAAGTACCAAGAGAACTTGCTAGACTATTACAACAAGAGGAAAGAGCAATACAACCTCATGAAGAGCCGGTCGAGACAGTAAACTTGGGTACTAAGGAGAACAAAAAGGAAGTCAGGATAGGTATCAACTTGGAAAATGGTGTTAAAGAACAGTTAATTCAGATGTTACATTACTATGTTGAGATCTCTGCATGATCATACGAAGACATGCCGAGGATGGATACTGATATCGTGGTTCATCGTCTGCCAACGAAACAAGACTGCCCTCAGTGAAGCAAAAGGTTCGTCGTATGCGTCCTGAGATGTCAGAAAAGATCAAGGCTGAAGTCATGAAACAATTCAATACCGGATTCTTAGCTATTACTTCTTATCCATAATGGGTTGTGAATGTGGTACCGGTACCTAAAAAGGACGGTAAAGTGCATATGTGTGTGGATTACAGAAATTTAAATAGGGAGAGCCCCAAGGATAACTTCCCGCTTCCCCATATTGATATTCTGGTTGACAACACTACACAACATAAGATATTCTCCTTCATGGACAGTTTCTCTGGTTATAATCAGATCAAAATGGC